GGAAGATCATCGAGTCCAGACCCCTGACCAAGGGGCAGGAAGTCAGCTAGGATAAACATCCAAATATTTCTTGAGTATCTGGAGTAGCTGCATGCACCACCTCTGTGAGGAGTCTGGTCCAGGCCTTGGGGGCTCGGACAGTAAAGAAATGCTTCTTTACCTTCCTCCCTTTAATGCAGCAGATGGCTATGTGCTTTGCAACTTTTGACAGAGAAGAACAACACCTGTGCAGAATGTTCCTGGATCATATCAGAGCAAACTTTGGTGATCCTGGTGAACTGCTGGGAGGCTTCTTGCCTTTTAGTGATGAAGCTGATTTACATGCTTCTGTTTTGTAGAGGGGGAAGGTATACACTGCAGATCATAGCTTGGGGAATATATTTTCAATTCATAGTAAAAATATACATTCCCTTCTAACACAGTTTCTTCTGAAGACTACACACAAGAGCCTCAAGCAGCATGAACCAGACACCAGGAAGGCAACAACCTGCAATTCCCCTGTAGGTACGAAGAAGAGTTGTAGTAGGGATGATTTGGAAGGTGACACCAGGAAGTTCCAGGTGCTGGAGGAATTTTGCAATAGCTCCAGGTACACAGTGCACCTCAGAGCTGTAAGCAGCAACACTGAGGACATGAGACTTCAAATAAAGATCCAAGTTCTTGCTGTCCAAATGGTGTCCCTTGCTTTATTATTGCACAGAGCGCTGTGCATGAAAAAATTACTACAGCTAAAGTATGCAATTCAATTCTGATCTGGAACCGAGATGAACAAAGGCAACAATGCTGATTTAAAACCTTTTTTTTAGAAAACACACTTAAAAAATTGTGAGGTGTGCTGATCAGAAAAGTTGGGATATTTAAACATGCAAGTAGGCAAAGTCACAGACATAAGTGAAAAACTCACTGCCAATTAATGAAATTAAAAAGTGTTGGCAAATGCACATTAGCTACTGTAATCTTTAAAAAGGGGCTCCATCTAAATAGTTGCTTGAAACAAAAAACATACCTGTACTTCCTTGTTACTAAATCAGAGTTAAATCTATTGACAAAACCAATGTTTGCCT